TCTCAGCAACTAGGGTATCATCTGTTACTGCCCCCAAAATTGGCTTACCCATTGAATTTTCAAAAACCACAATATGAAGCACTCATTTAATATGGACTAACTCAGCAATGAAACCTGCCTTTATTCTGAAAGCCCCTTCAAATCCTGGAAACTTCTGGAGCCAACAATGAAACTGGACTTGGACAGTGAGTAAGAGGAGGGGCAGTGGTCAGCGCGCACAAGAGGAAGCCAGGCAAGGGGCACACATGCTCACTGAAATACAGATATGCATAAAAAAAGGAGGAGTAATAAAGAAGGAATCAGGTAAAATAAAAAATTTTATTTTTCTTATTCTTTTTTGTTCTTTTATTAGCTGGACACCAATAATTAGATATTTTTCTTATTCTTAACTGATCTAAGAGATAACAGTTTATTCAGAATAATAATGGTAACACGTGTTTCATTATGCATATAATAATAAATATGCTTATGCATGCTCATGTATAAGTGAAATTAATGACAAATTATATAAGGGATAGAAGATACTAGGATTCTTTTGTTACTATAAGATATTCACAATACCCTTGAGGTGGTACACTGTTATTTGAAAGTGGACTTGGATTAGTTGCAAGTGTACATTTCAAACTCTACAGCAACCACTAAAAAAGTTTTAAAAAAGTATATTAATATACAAAGAGGGAAATGGAATCATATAAAATGCAGAATTAAAACTACAAAAGGCAGTGTAAGAATGAACAAAAAAAGATAATGAATAGAGAATAGTAACAAATATGGTAGATTTTAATCCAACTATATCAGTAATCATATTAAACATCCATGGTCTAAATATACTAGTTAAAAGACACAGATTGTCAGAGTAGATCAAAAAACAAGACTCAGCCATCCGTTGTCTATAAGAAACCCACTTTAAATATAGAGACACACATGGATTAAAATTAAAGGGATGAAAAAATATATCATGCTAACACTAATTAAGAGAAAACAGGAGAAACTGTATTAGTTTCAGACAGAGGAGATTTCAGAGCAAGGAATGTTATCAGGGTTAAAAGGGTGATTACATAATGATAAAGGGTTCAATACACCAAGAAGACATAGCAATCCTTAATGTATGTGTCTAACAAGAGAATATCAAAATATGTGAGGCAAAAACTGATAGAATTATAAAGAGAAACAGATAAATCCACTATCACAGCTGGAGATTTCAATGCCCTTCTATCAGAAATGTCCACATCCACCAGGCAGAAAATCAGTAAGGACATAACTAGACTCAAACACACGATCAATGAGCTGGATATAATTGACATCTATAGACCACTTCATCCAACAGCTGCAGATCACACATCCTTTTCAAGCTCACATGGAACAATCATCAAGATAGACCATGTTCTGAGCCATAAAACACACCTTAACAAATTTAAAAGAATAGAAATCATACAATGTCTCCTCTCAGACCACAATGGAATTGAACTATAAATCAATAGCAGAAAGATAGCTAGAAAATTCCAAAATATTTCAAGATCGAACAATATGCTTCTAAATAACACATGGGCAAAGGAGAAATCTCAAGAGAAATTTAAACTAAATGGAAATGAAAACACAACTTATCAAAATTTGTGGAATGCAATGAAAGCGGTGCTTAAAAGGAAATTTATAGTATTGAATGTGCATATTAGAAAAGAAGAGAGATCTAAAATCAATCATCTAATCTTCCACCTTAGGAAACTAGAAAAGAAGAACAAATTAAATCCAACATAAGCAGGGGTAAGAAAACAATAAAAATTAGAACAAAAATCAATGACATTGAAAATGGGAAATCAATGGAGAAATCAATAAAACCAAAAGTTGGTTTTTAAAAGGTCAATAAAATTTGTATTTTATTAATTAGCCTCTAGCGATGCTAAGAAAAGAAAAAGACACAAAATACTAATTTGTTCCCAACTTGATCCCAGCAAGTTATTTTGTAGATATTGACAAACCGATTCTATAGATTATATGGAGGGGCAAAAAAACCCAGAATAGCCAACACAATATTGAAGGAGAAGAACAAAATTGGAGGGATTCACAATACCCAACTTCAAGACTTACTACAAAGCTACAGCAATCAAGACAGTGTGATACTGGCAAAAGAAAAGATGTATAGCTCAATGGACCATAATAGGGAGCCTAGAAATAAATCTACTACACATCAATAAAGTCCAGTGATCTTTGACAAAGGCGCAAAGGCAATGCAAGGGAGAAAAGAGTCTTTTCAACAAATGGTGTTGGAACAACTGAATATACAAATGCAAAAAGTAAAAAAATGAATTTAGACACAGACTGACATCCTTCGCAAAAATTAACTCAAAATGGTTCATACACCTCAACGTAAAATACAAAATTATAAACTTCCCAGAAGTTGACATAGAAGAAAATCTAGACAACTTTGGTATGGTGATGACTTTTTAGATACAATACCAAAGGCACAATCACTGGAAGAAATAATTGATAAGCTTAACTTTTTTAAAATTAAAAACTTTTGCTCTGCAGAAGACACTGTCAAGAGAATGAGAAGACAAGCCACAGAATGGTAGAAAATATCTGCAAAAAAAGATTTGATAAAGAACTGTTATCCAAAATATACACAGAACTCTTAAAGCTTAACTATAAGAAAATGAAAAGCCAATTTAAAAATGGGCAAAAGACCTGAATAGACATCTCACCAAAGAAGACACACAGATGGCAAATAAGCGTATAAAAAGATGCTCACCATCATATGTCATTAGGGAACTGCAAATTAAAACAACGACGAGATATCACTACATACCTATAAGAATGGCCCAAATCCAGGACAATCACACAACCAAATACTGGCAAGGATGAGGAGCAACAGCAACTCTCACTCATTGCTGATGGGGACACAAAACAGTCCCGCCACTTCGAAAGATGGTTTGGCAGTTTCCTACCATAAACACACTTACCACTGAACATACTCTTGCCATAGGATACAGCAAGTGCACCCCTTGGCATCTACACAAATGTGTCAAAAACTATGTCTACACAAAAATCTGTACACAAATGTTTATGGAAGCTTCTTCATTCATAATTGTCAAAAATTGGAAGCAACCAATGTGTCCTTCAGTAGGTAAATGAATAAATAAACTGTGACACATCCACACAAGGCAATGTTTTTCAGTGCTAAAAAGAAATGAGTTATCAAGTCATGAAAAGACATGGAGTTAACTTCAACGCTAAGTGAAAGAAGCCAGTCTGAAAAGGCTACATACTGTGTGATTCCAGCTCTGTGACAGTCTGGAAAAGGCAAAACTATGTAGACAGCAAAAAGATCAGTGGTTTCCAGAGGCTGGGGAGTAGAGAGGATGAATAAGCAAAGCATAGAGGACTTTTAGATCCCTGAAACTCCTCTGCATGACATTATAATGGTGAATATTTGCCGAAACTCATAGAATTTACAACGCCAAGAGTGAACCCTAGCGTAAACTGCAGACTTTGAGTGATAATGACGGGTCAGTGCAGGTTCATCGATTATAACAAATGTACCACTCCGGTAGGGGGTTGATAGTGGGGGAGGCTGTGCATACATAGGGGTAGGCGAGTATATTGGAAACCTCTACCTTCCATTAGATTTGGCTGCAAATCTAAAATTACTCTAAAAAATTAAGTATATTTTTAAAGGGAAGGGGAGACTAGTGCAGGAAGAGCCCCTGGAAAGGCAGACAAGAAACTGGATTTCATTGTTAACTCAAGGACAAGCCACTGAGGGGCTCTGCAGGGGGCAGGGGAATGACAAGCTCTGATTTACATTTTTAGCAATCACTTTGGCTGCCGGGTGGGGAATGGATTTGAGGGAAGAGGGTGGGAGCTGGGAGAACAGAACAGGAGGCTGTAAATACAGTTCAGGTCAGACCTGATGGGGCGCAGACTAGGACAGAAGTCAGCAGAGATGGAAAGACCTGGTGGATTGAAAATAGTCTTTGGAGGGAGACCTGATAGAACTTGGCAATGGATTAGATGTGTGGGTTGAGAGAGAAGAATTGAGAATGACGCTAAAGTTTTGGAGCGAGCAATTGGAGGACATTTTCTAAATAAAGATATGAACGAAGTTGAAGCTGGTTTGAAAAGCAAGATCAAGGTTTGCCTTTCAATGCTTTTTAAGTCTGAGACTCCCGGTAGTGCCGGACCCTTAGTAGGTGCTTAGGTTGTTGGTTTGATGTTGTTACAATGGTTTTTGTTATGAACATGATAGGAAAGATGGGGTACTAGACATTTGTTATTTTTTAAAACATTTTTCACAGATCAAAAGAATGAGGGTGGAATCCTATCACTTCCCTGCCAACCCCACACTGTCTCAGCAACCTGCCACATTACCCTCGGTCCTCACACCCATTACAAGCCACTGGGGTTTATGTCTCAGTCACCCGCATCATAGCTCTGCAGAGCCCACTCTGAAATACCTGCTGGAATGCATTCACACTCATTTTTTTCACTAAATAAGTCAATGCTCCCAAAGACCCAACCAATGAATTAATTTTAATAAGAAAGCTCAGAGAACCTACCAATACGACTTCCAAAGCAGTGGTTCTCAAAGTGTGTTCCTCAGACCAGCAGCATCAGTGTCTCCTGGGAACTTGTGAGAAATGCAAATTCTGGGGCCCCACCCCAGCCCTACTGAATCAGAAACTCTGGGTTGGGTCCAGCGCTCTGTGGACACAAGCCCTCCCGGGGGTTCTGATGCTCACTCAAGTTAGAGAATCACTGATCTGGAGGAATCACAAGACATTATATATTTTGACTCTACCTAGGCACAACTGACACTACCTTAAATAAGTAAAACATGATTTCAAGGCTAGTACCATTCTCTAAAATATTTTATACATTAAAATGTTCGAAAACGATATTTTCATATGCATGAACAACAGTACAGAAGGAAAGGATTCTGTTCATTGAGGAGGCGGGTGCGGCACATCCCCGAACCAGGAGCGTGGGAGGCAGGTGCGGCTTACCTGGCAGATGCCGCTGATACACATGTCCAGGGAGTCGGCGTTGCAACGAGTTCCATCCAGTACCTTAGGTGCAAGCTCCACCACCAGGTTTTGTCCCCGTGCGTGACACTTGAGCGCACACGGGGCAGCAGGATCATTATACCGTGGAAGCCACTCATAATAACGTCCTTGATACTGAACATCATTGTAGGCTGAACACTGCTGGGCTCTAAAGTCTTCCGCGTCCGGAGGGCAGTCCTGGAGGCAGAGACAAAGTATCAGACGCACGTCACCCAGTGACAGGGGCCGCGGAAGGCTGAACATGTTCACCAGAACCCCCTGAGAGCACCCCCGCTTGCCTGTGTCTGGGAGTCACTAATCCCTTCTTTTTTTTTTTTTTTATTAAATTCAAAGCTGAATCTATACCTGGGAAATTCCACTGGCATCTCTGCAATAATGATCTATACAGGAGATTATTTCATGTATTCTGATCACTCTTCCACCTAGGTATTTTTTCCCAGATAATTAAAGCTTACAATAGACGGACACCAAACTTTGCCCTATTTTAACTCTCTTGGATATAAATATTCAAATCCATTACATAGTCACCTTCTTTTTGAAACAAGGGAAACTAAATGCTTTTAATTCTTCCAGGTGATTCAAGGTCTTCATAAAAATATTAGTTATCCATGCCTTCAAGAGCCATTCCAACATGAAGGATTACTTGTCCCTACTTTAGCCCAAGGCTGTTGTGCTTTGTGAGAACTTGTGTTTGTCTCTTCGTGTTTGCCAGTTTTTAATTCATCTGCCTTTCCTCCCTTGTCAGTCCCTTCCCACACCTTCACGGGTACTGAGTACTTTCCTTCAACGGGCTGTAGGAGGGAAAGCAGGTAATGTAACTTGTTCAAGTTCTGTCTACAACAAAAGCAAACAAATTCTAAGTAAACTCCCTAGGGCACTCTCATAAAAATAGTCAAAAGTACCTGTACAAGCATTGGTAACTCGGGGTCTTGCTACTAAATTACTGATTTCTCCCTCCAGATATTTCCAAAGCAAGATGCTCGATGACAAAAATGTTACTTTACTTGCCAAAAATCTACTTTTAGTATACAAACATCCTAATTAAAGAAGACAGGTACAAAAAAAGCAATATATTATTTTATATTTTTTTTATCATGAAAGTAAGTGTTCACTGTAACAACTTTGGGAAATAGTTTCTATTAAAAAAAAAAGAATAACAAAGATTCTTGTACCGAAATCTTTACACAAATCTTGATTATTTCCTAAAGACTAGTTTCTAGAAATAAAATTTCTCAGTCAAAAATTACAAAAATTGCAAAAATATGCAACTTTTATGGACTATTCAAAATATTTTCAAATTGCCCCCCAGAAAGGAATTATTATTATTATTATCAGGCTACATAAGTTTCCTTTTCTCGCTATCTCTTCCCAGCTTATGTATCATTAATTTTCTATATTTTTTTCCAGTCAGAATTGCAAAATAGAATTTCATTGTTTTCAGTTGCATTTCATTTTTATTATTTAGGTTTTATATCTTTTCATGCATATTTGCTTTTTGTATCAATTCTTTAAAATTTCTTGTTTTATGTCCTTTCTTCATTTATGCATTGGAATGTTTGTCTTGTTATTGTTTTTAGCAGATAAAATTCTTAAACTTCATAGTGAAGTTATAAATTCTTCGTCGTTGTGTTGGAAATATTTTCCCTGTTTAATTTTGGTTTTGGTACTTTGCAAAGTCAAGAAGTTTTACACTGTTATAGAATCAGCTTTATTAATATTTCTCAAGATTTCCTTCTTTATTAATTTGCTTCGAAATGCTTTTCTCACTCTGCTCTAAGAACAGATAAATACTTAAATGTATTTCTGAAGTTCCTTTATAGATTAGTAATCATATTTAACTCTCTGTTATGTTTGGAATTTATTCAGATGAATGGTGTGAGGTAGAAATCTAGCTTTATTTTTTCCACAAAGAGTTACTGATAGGCCGGGAGCAGTGGCTCACACCTATAATCCTAGCACTCTGGGAGGCCGAGGTGGGAGGATTGCTCAAGGTCAGGAGTTCAAGACCAGCCTGAGCAAGAGTGAGACCCCGTCTCTACTAAAAATAGAAAGAAATTAGCTGGACAACTAAAAATATATAGAAAATATTAGCCAGGCATGGTGGCGCATGCCTGTAGTCCCAGCTATTTGGGAGGCTGAGGCAGGAGGATCGTTTGAGCCCAGGAGTTTGAGGTTGCTGTGAGCTAGGCTGACGCCATGGCACTCTAGTCCAGGCAACAGAGTGAGACTCTGTCTCAAAAAAAAAAAAAAAAAAAAAAAAGAGTTATTGATAAATTATCAGCCAGGATTTTAAAATATAATTTCTTCCATTTCCCCCCTTTTCACTACTTTTGCATTTTACTGTTTATGCTTCTGGCCTTAATAAAGTACCTCAAATCCTTTTTGGAAGTAGGTAGGAAATAAATAGAATATAATGAGCAAACTTTCCTCTGAGATTAGTTGTATTATTTTGCTGCGAAACATTCCAAAATCCTATATTGCATCCACATTTTTGTTGTATTAGCAAGATTAAACCAGGTTATACGGATGGAACTGAGTCAAATTGAAAACTACTAAAATTGGATGACTTTTCTCTGTTGAAATGAGGACTTTATCCTCCATCTGGCCACAGCAAAGATCATCAATTACAAAATTACATCACCTCCTCTTCCTCTGGCCACGGCCAGTTTTGTCTACAGCCGACTCTTTGAAACCAAAGGGAAGTGTAGACGAGAGCAGGGCACAAGCAGCTTCCCTTGCACCAGGCTCACTGACGTGGTGGGCATTCTCCAGGGACTGAGGGTGCTGGTAGGGTGACTCCTCACTGCCTTAAACTCCAAAAACCAATGAAGTTTCACAAAATTAACAAGAGTTCATTAACAGAAGACAGCTTAGGACGTGAGCCTAGACTTGGTCCTTGCCCAAAGGATGGCCAGGTTTGGAGGTATGACTAGCTTCCCTGGCCAGAGCTGACTCTCCAGAGGCAAACATCTGGTCCACACCAGGTCAATCTTTCCCAGGAATTTGGAATTGCCACAAAAGAGCCGGAGCTGAGAATTCACATCAATCCGGCCCATTTCTTTTATGAGATGCATGTTGAAACAAAGCAAGCAAGTTCCCCCCGCAGAGAAGAATGAATTCGACAAGAAAGGAGGATAGATAGTAAACCATGCATTTCAATAGCAGGAAGTAACTGGTGTTTCTCATTTTCAGATTCCTGGCTCCAGGCCCTCAAGGCCTGCTTGTGCTTAAATTCCATTAAATACCCACATGTCCATCCAGTGAATCCCATTCGTCTTAAGCTAATCTAAGTGGGTTTCTGCTCTTCGCATGTGATGATCCCTGATTAAGGCAGCCTTGTGTCTGGATGATGCTTTCTGGTTTACCGAGGATAATTACTGACATTCTCTTTTCACCACCACCCTTTGAACTAGGTAGAAAAGAATTACCAATGCCCTCATTTTGTAAATGGAGAAAAATATGACCTAGAAAGTTTAGCCACTGGTCCAAAGACACACACTAGGGTATGACAGAGTCAAAACTGATTCCCAAAGTAACAAGCCCTCCATTATGTTACAGAATGCTGCTTTCCAGTAAGTGTGGGGGACAGGGGCCACTTACATCAAATGCTTTCATTCTCTTCACATTCTTCCAGTGTCAACACTAAGCCCGCCTAATCTGGCTCAGCAGGGTCCCATGCCCTGGCTCACGACAATCTAGGATTCTTGTGTCTTAAAGAGTCCAGTTGGCATTTAGGAAGCTGGAATGCCAAACATTCTTCCGCTTTCCTATCCCCAAGAAGAACTTTTTCATATTCAATTAAGTTCAAGGCAATACTTATGTATTCAATATAGTTTATGGGCTTTGCCCTAGGTCACATGCTATGGAGAACACAAAGGAAAACTACAATCCACTGCTGTCACTCTGTGAGCTTATCTTGTTGGAGATGTAGCATCTACATACATGAAACGCATCGAAATAGCACATTATGACTGGTATTTGTAGACGTATAGTAGGACTGCAGTGAAGGAAATAAAATTGTTATCAAAGATTAAATAATAAAATTGATTAGATGGTGTTCATAAGGAAAGAATAGATCCTGTATCAGAAAGACTTGACTCAAACCAGATAGAGGTAATTAATATATCTAAAGAAGAAGTGTCAATCAGGGTGGACAGCCAGCCTGTGACGCATAGAAAAGAAAGAGGAAGAGGAGGAGAGGAAAAGAGAGAAGGGTGGAGGAGGAGGAGAAGGAGAAGGAAGAGAGGGGGAAACGTGGGAGGGAGGATGAGAGGAAGGAAGAAGAGGAAGAAAAAGCAGAGGATGTGACTACCACAACCAGCAGATGACAACTAGCACCATTCAGGAACCATCCTGGAAACAGGGGTCTCCTTTCCCTCCTAAAACCATGGGGATGTGTAGCACATGTGGACAACTTATGGAGAGGAGCCAAGACAGGGAGAGATTATCTAATAAAACAAGCATTTTTATGCAAGGCGGACTATTACCTAAGAGACTATTTATATAATAGCATTGGACCAAGCTTTAATTTGGATTAGACATTTAGTTAATTCTTCCTCCAACCCCATGACCAGCAAGTAAGGACTCGGAGAAATACTAACAGGTCATTAAATATGAAATGTCCAATTTTCTTAAGTACTAAGTACTAAGTACTAAGTACAGCTGATATCTCTGACATTTCACCTTGACACTTCTTGTTTTTATCTTTTTTTTTAATTGCGAAGGCACATCCTCATTCCTTCAAATGTACATTTTGGCTTTGTGATTATCTTTCAGATTTTTTTTTTAGAGCAATTTTTGTGAAACCATGGCTAAGTCAAATATTTGTGTTATTTTCAAACATGAGTTCCATCTTGGAACCAATGCTGTGCAGACAACCTGAAATATCAACAGAGAGTTTGGGAAGGATGTGGCTAATGAATGCACAATACATCGATGGTTTAAGAAGTTCAGTTCTTGTGATTTTAATCTTGAAAATGAGCCAGGTGGGTGACCTGAGACCAAGGTGTATAATGATAAGCTGAAATCTGTAGTGGAAGCAAATCCATCTCAACCCGCCCATGAATTAGCAGCAAGGTCTGACATTACTATTCCAATAATACTGGACCATTTGAAACAAATCAGCAAGGTAAAGAAGCTCGATAGATGGGTTACACATGAATTAAAGGAGAGTTAGA